TGAAACTTTTGGAGTAAACCGCAGATGTAGCAGCTGATGCCCCTAGTTTCGTTTTTCTGCAGTAAGTCCCATAGGGAGGCCTGTCAGCCCCAACCTGCAGGACTCTCATGTATCGCAGTCTAAAGGTACCTTAAAGTGGATGGTTCTGGACAAACTTGGTACCGTTGCAAAGCGGATGAATAGGCCAACCAGCATGCAAAACGGCAAGGCTTTAGATTTGAAACTTTTGGAGTAAAGCGCTAATGTAGCAACTGATGCCCCTAGTTTCGTTTTTCTGCAGTAAGTCCCTTAGGGAGGCCTGTCAGCGCCAACCTGCAGGGCTCTCGTGTATCGCAGTCTAAAGGTACCTTAACGTGGATGGTTCTAAACAAACTTGGTACCGTTGCAAAGCGGATGAATAGACCAACCAGCATGCAAATCGGCAAGGCTTTACACCTGAAACTGTTGGAGTAAACCGCAGATGTAGGAGCTGATGCCCCTTATTTCGTTTTTCTGCAGTAAGTCCCATAGGGAGGCCTGTCAACGCCAACCTGCAGGACTCTCATGTATCGCAGTCTAAAGGTACCTTAAAGTAGATGGCTCTTAACAAACTTGGTACCGTTGCAAAGCAGATGAATAGGCCAACCAGCATGCAAATCGGCAAGGCTCTAGACCTGAAACTTTTGGTGTAAACCGCAGATGTAGCAGCTGATGCCCCTAGTTTCGTTTTTCTGCAGTAAGTCCCATAGGGAGGCCTGTCAGCGCCAACCCTCATGGCTCTCATGTATCGCAGTCTAAAGGTACCTTAACGTAGATGGTTATAAACAAACTTGGTACTGTTGCAAAGCGGATGAATAGACCAACAAGCATGCAAATCGGCAAGGCTCTAGACCTGAAACTCTTGGAGTAAACCGCAGATGTAGCAGCTGATGCCCCATATTTCGTTTTTCTGCAGTAAGTCCCATAGGGAGGCCTGTCAGCGCCAACCTGCAGGACTCTAATGTATCGCAGTCTAAAGGTACCTTAACGTGGATGGTTCTAAACAAACTTGGTACCGTTGCGAAGCGGATGAATAGGCCAACCAGCATGCAAATCGCCAACGCTTGAGACCTGAAACTTTTGGAGTAAACCGCAGATGTAGGGGCTGATGCCCCTAGTTTCGTTTTTCTGCAGTAAGTTCCATAGGGAGGCCTGTCAGCGCCAACCCTCATGGCTCTCATGTATCGCAGTCTAAAGGTACCTTAACGTGGATGGTTCTAAACAAACTTGGTACCGTTGCAAAGCTGATGAATAGGCCAACCAGCATGCAAATCGGCAAGGCTCTAGACCTGAAACTTTTTGGGTAAACCGCAGACGTAGCAGCTGATGCCCCTAGTTTCATTTTTCTGCAGTAAGTCCCATAGGGAGGCCTGTCTGCGCCAATCTGCAGGACTCTCATGTATCGCAGTCTAAAGGTACCTTAACGTGGATGGTTCTGGACAAACTTGCTACCGTTGCAAAGCGGATGAATAGGCCAACCAGTATGCAAATCGGCAAGGCTCTAGACCTAAAACTTTTGGAGTAAACCGCAGATGTAGGAGCTGATGCCCCTTATTTCGTTTTTCTGCAGTAAGTCCCATAGGGAGGCCTGTCAGCGCCAACCTGCAGGACTCTCATGTATCGCAGTCTAAAGGTACCTTAACGTAGATGGTTCTAAACAAACTTGGTACCGTTGTAAAGCAGATGAATACACCAACCAGCATGCAAATCGGCAAGGCTCTAGACCTGAAACTTGTGGAGTTAACCGCTGATGTAGCAACAGATGCCCTTAGTTTCGTTTTTCTGCAGTAAATCCCATAGGGAGGCCTGTCAGCGCCAACCCGCATGGCTCTCATGTATCGCAGTCTAAAGGTACCTTAACGTTGATGGTTCTGGACAAACTTGGTACCGTTGCAAAGTGGATGAATAGGCCAACCAGTATGCAAATCGGCAAGGCTCTAGACCTGAAACCTTTGGAGTAAACCGCAGATGTAGCAGCTGATGCCCCCAGTTTCGTTTTTCTGCAGTAAGTCCCATAGGGAGGCCTGTCAGCGCCAACCTGCAGGGCTCTCGTGTATCGCAGTCTAAAGGTACCTTAAAGTGGATGGTTCTAAACAAACTTGGTACTGTTGCAAAGCTGATGAATAGGCCAACCAGCATGCGAATCGGCAAGGCTCTAGACCTGAAACTTTTGGAGTAAACCGCAGATGTAGCAGCTGATGCCCCTAGTTTCGTTTTTCTGCAGTAAGTCCCATAGGGAGGCCTGTCAGCGCCAACCCTCGTGGCTCTCATGTATCGCAGTCTAAAGGTACCTTAACGTAGATGGTTCTAGACAAACTTGGTACCGTTGCAAAGCGGATGAATAGGCCAACCAGCATGCAAATCGGCAAGGCTTTAGACCTGAAACGTTTGGAGTTAATCGCAGATGTAGCCACTGATGCCCCTAGTTTCGTTTTTCTGCAGTAAGTCCCATAGGGAGGCCTGTCCGCGCCAACCCGCATGGTTCTCATGTATCGCAGTCTAAAGGTTTCTTAACTGGATGGTTCTGGACAAACTTGGTACTGTTGCAAAGCGGATGAATAGGCCAACCAGCATGCAAATCGGCAAGGCTCTAGACCTGAAACTTTTTTATTGGTCGATGGTTTCTCATGAAATTAAAACTCCTTCTGTTACACATCGTGCAAAATCAAAGCACCAAATTTCAATTTAATACATCTTGTATTTCTTGAGTTATTGCTCGAAAAAGAGTTGGTTCCTTTTGTTCAACAGTGCAGCACAATGCATCCGCGTTGATTTTTGTGGAGACCACTATTTATGTGGCGCGCCCTCTCTTGAGCGAAACTTCAAGTAGGCACGTGCGAGACCACTACTTTTATTTAGCGCGCCCTTTCTCGAAAGAAAATTTCAGTTGTTATTTGACGGTTTTGCACGAAATTTAATCTCGTTAGGTACACATCAAGACCGATCACTGGCCGAACTTACAACTTAATACAGCTGGGCCAGGTAGGCTCGGGTGATACTAGTTTCAACTCAAGCTCGAAAACCATGCTCCCGTCATTTGGGAGTCAGCTAGTTGGCGTAGCGGTACTTTCCTCGCCTTCCACCGCTGTGACCTGTGTTCGAATCCCGCCTGGGCCAATATGTGGACTGGGTTTTCAGTCCCTACCTGATTCCGTGGGTTTTCCCCAGGATATTCTTCTGAACTTTTCCTCCCAACTCTCAAACTGTAACTTCTTCTCACTGTCTTCTCTCCACACTTTTCTTCAGGCTTGCGAGCTACGGTGTCTAGGGCGCTTTTGAGGAATCCTTGGATTCAATACCAGAAATGACTAATAATAAAATAATAATAGGAAAGCACACGGAAGTGCGAAGTGTATCCCCAGATCGAAGGACTGTATGATCTCAAGTTCTCAACCCTCCTCCTCAACTTGATGATCTTGTTCTTTTGTGCTGTAGGATTTTCTACCCCGAGCGAGTAGAGTCTGTGTGTAGAACCTAAGCTTGTACTCTGCAGAATGATGTACACGAAAAGACTGGACTGTAGCTAGATATCAACCCTCCTCAAATGTCAGCCTTTCCTTCTGAATATATTTTAACCCTAAAAAGGGCCGGGCTATGGTGATCAGCTCTCAGCCGGAGAGGCGGATCCCCCCCCCCAAGATCTCGGCCATCGAGTGACGAAATTCGGTACATGCATAGAACAACTTATCATGAACATACCCAAGAAATTTCATGACTATTGGTCAAAGGGTTTTGGAATTATGGATAATTAATTATTCATGAATGGTAATTGTGCTCTGTGTACACTGCGTATATGGAAAAATTCAGTTTTCGTTTTGCAAAATTCAGTTTTCAATTCAGCGCCGGACTTTTTTTTCGCTCCGCGGCAACCCGTTGTCCGATTTTTATGTTTTTGGTATCAAAAGATGCGCAAGGCTCGAGGCCAGTAAAAAGTCAGAACAGCTCGGGTAGCGCCAAAAATTGAAGCTATCGCAGAAAAAGTTTGGGGAGGATTCCGCCCTCTGGCCCCTTAGGGTTAATGGTTGCAGGGTTTTCTTCCCGTGTAAAATCTGTGTAGATTTGTTGGTACTTCGTAGAATGCTGTGACGTCGATCGACCCATCCTCAAAAACCATCCTCTTCTGGGTGCACTTATAATAGCTGTAATGTATACATTGTATAGGATTTTTCCTTCCCAATGACGTATCATCATCAGACAGCGTCGCCTTCGGCTAGCCGGTCACGTTTATCGACATAATGAGCCAGCTAGTCAAGTTCTCCTCTGGAATCCTGAAGCCCCTCAACGAAAAGGTCGTCCCAACATGACCCTGAAAACATCCATCGAGCTAGAAACTAGTCTGAGTGGTCCATCTCTTTCCATCTCTTTCCATCTCTATTCTCGACAGAGACAGTTGGGCCCAACTCTTGAAGTCATCATGAAAATGAATGAATGAAGAAGAAGATGACGTGTAGGCCATTATCATGTTGCGGCCACCTTGATTTTTTTTTCCAATTAAAATCAACGTAACCAAAGCGAGGCTGGAAGGAAACAAAAAATGTCTGGTTCCTTTTTGCACAAAACATGATCATTACGTACTGTTATTGGATACAGGGAACATGATTGAAAATGGTGACAGCACGATAAAGGTCTTTACACTGATATGTTGCGGCCAACTTGATTTTTTCCAATTCAAATCAACGTAACCAAAGCGAGGCTAGAAGGAAAATATAGTCTGGTTCCTTTTTACACAAAAACATCATTCAGTACTGTCATTGGATACAGGGAACATGACTGAAATGGTGGCAGCATGATAAAGGTCTATTTTGTTGCATGATCAGTGTCGAGTAATACGTGAACACACGTTGAACACTTTGTGTAGAGCTTTGTGCTACAAAATATGTTCAATTTTAATGCTGCCACATATCGTGCGAGGTATACGTGAGCCAGGTGATAATCTGGTACCCTTTGACGGATTTGCACGTTGCCCTATATTGTATGGGCAGGATACCAGACTAGAAAATTATCGATTTCCGAGGCGATTTGACGGCCAGCAGGGTTTTAAACGTCTGATGTTTATGCCGCGATGGAGACGTAAATGCTGTGTAATTTTCTTTCTTACGATGGAAAGACTTTCAGAGTAAGTCAATTATTGTAACTGCAAGGTTATGAAGTTTTAATAAGGTGTACTTTACACATTATCAAAAATTTTCCAAAACGTACACGGTAATCTAGCAGCTAGCTACACACAATTCACAAACGTTCGACCATGTCGACCGTTTTCTAGTGACAGTGTTTCGCTCCAGCGAACAGGCTGGCTATTGTTGGTAGAAAAAGACACAATCTGCCAATTATTCTACTCTTTAAAAGGCTGGATTATGCCTGCATAATTGCATACATGTGGGCGGGGTAGGATTGCATGGAATTTAGGATGGGAGACCAGCACTCCAGCAGCACTAAAAATGGGGGAAAGAGTGTAGGGCATGTAGGGAAAGAATGTTGCATCTTTAGTGTACGCCACTTTTTTTCGTATGATTGTCTCGATGAAGCCGGTCAGTCATTGCAAAACAGGTTGGAAAGACATCAATCTGGGACTGAGAAATTGTCTTTGCGCACAACCAAAAAAGTGGCGAGTGGATACTACATTCGGAAAGAATTTTGCAACCTGACGCTGCTTTTTTCTTCATATTATCATCTCAATGAAGGTCAGTCATTGCAAAAATAATGAAAAGACATGAATCTGGGACTGAAAAACATTTCCAATTTTGTTACGAAATACATAGCCCCATAAATGTGGCCAATTTACTGGACTACGTAAATAAAGGCCACACTTGGAATGATGTACCTGAACATGTAGAACTTTGTCAAGTTTTTTATTTTCACATTTAGACTTTGGTTGTAGTTTATTTATGCTTTAGAAGCACACTCACCCTCTTTAAAGCGATAGAAAATATGTTGGAATTTAGATACGCCCTACGCTGAAGTGTGCAAAACGAACCTGGAAATTACACGAAATGTAGACATCTAAAAATAATAATTAATAGTGGATATTTATAAAGCGCACGTATCCACCAGGGGGAATGATTTACAAATAATAAACTAGTGTGTTTAAACGTCAACAAGGCAGAATTTAGTGTTTTTGTTTGTTTGTTTCTTCTTTCTTTCCCCTTTTTTCTACACACTGGGTAGGCATACGTCATTGTTCAAATCTATTTGCAGTAAAAAAAAATCCAAAAATTTGAGACTCAATATTGTTTTTGAGTGTCCCCAAATTAGTGAAGAAAACTGAAAAACATGTAATACCAAAAAAAAAAAATAGACTGGCACATGAAACAATCAGTCCAACACCCATTTGCATCAATTAATTGTGTCAAAAGAAACAGCTGGTACCTTGTCTCTTTTTCCACACATTCTCTCCATAGTCATGCCACCAGACTACTGAATGGCCAAGCTTTTTAAAAAGTTGGATAAATATACCAGTCTAATCTTAGGCTTCAAATTAAAATCACTTGGCTTCACTCCCAGGTGCAAAATATTGAAGACGATCTCCTTTAAAGATTGAATTAAGACCTCAAACTTGTCTGGTGAAATACTGAGGACCTTGTATTTGCCTCTTGAAAAGTTCAGAGAATTTTGTGGGCTAAAGGGTGAGTAAAGTTAGCCTGATTTTGTTCGCATGTTTTTCTGCACTCATGGTCTCAGTCTGGTAAAAATCTACCGTGATTTTTGTTTCTGACAGAAAAGATGAAACTTCAATGTCCAACTTCCAGACGATGGCAGTTTGTGTGTGATTCGTCTCATCTCGTCCACTAGCATCACCGACAGCATGGCACTGAATCACGGGAGTAACTCCAGGAGTCGTAGCCTGTCCACCAGCTCGGCTTCCAGCTACAGCCTGTCTGATAGAGGGTCATCGTTGACGTCAGAGATTATGCCCATTGGACAGTACAACTCGAAGAAGGTACGTGTAAGGACTGAAGATGGGAAGAATTTACCCTGCTCAATCCAACAGGATCCAACTATTATCCATTTCCGTTGGGTCCTGTTGAATTGAGCAGTAAACCCCTTGTATATTCCTGTTGAAATCTGTTGGATTCAGCAGGCAACTGAAAATATTCAGAGTTGGATTTTGTTCGGAACTGGTAATTAATGCCCAGTTCCTGTTGGACTCTGTTGGATCCAGCAGGAAACTGAAAAATAAGGCACAGTTGGATTCTGTTGGATTGAGCAGGCCAGTCATTTTATATAAAACAGGTACCCAACAATTTGGCAAGTTGGGTTGTGTGGGATTGAGCAGGAAACTCATATGAGTATTGCAGTCCATAGCACTCTGCATTTCCAAAAACGAGTCGATTGACTGATAGCTGGAAATCGCCTACATGTAACATTTCTTGATTTCTTTTACATGACAGCAAGCTAGATTGAACAATTGTACGGGGTGTTTAGTACCAACACGACCTTTAACCCTAGGCATTTTTGCTAGGATGTAACCTCAATCCTACACAATCCTCCAACTGCCTCCATGTCAAAATTGCATACAGCCTCAATCCTGAAAAATCATCCGTTACTTCGTGAATGTGGTCCTTGGAGGGGTGACCACTGCCTCAATCCTGCAAAATCCTCCGGCAATCACTGTCAATATGTTGAGGCAGAGCCAGTGACATCCTGGCGCTGTGCGGAGGGTTTCAAGTATAATCTAGGCCTAAATTTATGCACGGCTGAGCATAAACAACACAAGGTCCTGCCCAAGACCTTGACACAGTGCATCCTCCAGAATCAGCCACATATTTTTGCCATATGGCCTCAATCCTGCAAAATCCCTCCTTTTTGAGAGGATTTTTTAATATTTGGGAAGGTTAGGGTTAAAGAAAAGTACACAGTTTGAGGTGAAGTTTGTAAATTGTTGTATTTTCTGTGCACTTTTACAGTGTGTTGCTGTTCTGTGATCAATAGTTGCAGTGCTAGAACTTGGCATGCGGACAAAAGCAACAGAGGCAATTGCCCCATTGCCCTAGGCCTTTGTCGTTTCAACCCATAAAAAATATTTCCTTGCACTATTGGAATTTTTATTACCAGAAATGCCTTTTGACTACATGTTCAACAGAAAATTGACCTGCCCCCCAAAGTGCAAATTTCAGACTGGGCCCAATTTCATGGTCACAATGGTACTTTTAAACAGTCAAAAGCCTAACCCCTAGGCCCTTTTTGCTAGGAACCATTCTCAATCCTCTGAAATCCTCCAAAATGTTGCCCCTTCCGGTACATGCATACATATTTAAAATGAAGGATACCCACTGCCTCAATCCTTCAAAATCCTCCAACAGCCCTACCTCAAAATGCATTCAGCCTCAATCCTCCAAAATCCTCCTCTTCTTCAACCACCATTCAGCCTCATCCTCCAAAAATCGGTGCTGAATGTCCATGTTTCCTCCATCCTCCAAAATTGTATGTTGCATTCATCCCCAATCCTCCTAAATGCTGCAAAACCGCCTGGAGGACTTTGGAGGATGGAGGACGGTTAGGGTGGAAAGTGTCTCCTAAATTATGCAAATTTAAGACTGGGCCAAGTTTCATGGTACATACTGCTGTTAACACAATGGTTAACAGAAACTTGAAATCTTGATAAGTCAAACTCTGATAACTCAAAACAACTGTTAAGTCAAACAAAGAATCCATTCCCTTCAGTAGTATAACAATGATATACGTATGTATGTACAACCCTGCTTAACTCAAAATTCTGCTTAAGTCAAATTTTAAATCTGTTTCCTTGAGGTTTGACTTAGCGAGATTTCACTGTAGTGTTAAAATAGTAATTTTATTTTCAAATCTTCAATTTGCGGAGTACCAGTCACAAGCAATAGAAAACACATGACAGTTTTGCTGGTAACCTGTTTGTGCTAAGCAGTTGTTTCCTGCTGTTAGCAAATTTCTCTGCTTCGAAGCCTCCTAAAATTTGCCCATGAATGTACATTGTATTGTCCCTGTAACTTTGCATTGTGAAAGTTGTCGTCTTGGGTTCGAATCTCACCCGACCAAGCTGGCAATTTTGGTGTTACAAGTACTGAGAAAGCACTGTGGTCCAATAAATACGGTGTTCGACTCACGTGCCATGAAACGTGGGTTCGAACCCTGACAAGGAACATAGTGCTTGTGTTCTTGGGCAAGACACTTGACTACTGCCTCTCTCCACCCAGGAGCAAATGGGTACCTGTGAAGGTACCGGTAGAGACCAGATTGCGCTGATCCCGAGCTGCTGCAGAAAAATAGTCTCATGGCCTGATGAACAGGGGTAATAAGTGTGAAACTTGCTTTTGAGACTTTTGGTATAAAACACGAGGTATTTAAGCAGTAAGCACCACGAATAAATTATTAGTAACTACATGTACTACAATCACGGTCAAAGGCAAAATCCAAAATAAAAACATGCACTGTGCTAAATTTATTCCATGACCTTGTGACCTTTTTCCCAGTGGCAGAATTCCAGTCAGATTTTTGGATAAGAAAGTGCAATACTTTCACCTTGTAAGGTTTTAATACCGGTTCGAATAACACCACTTTAATACTGTTGACGCAAACGGCGGGGACCTTCCTCCAATGGCACTGTTGCATTGTTACACGGGCGCCGGTATCAGTGCGAAAACCCCAGCGTCACAATGGACTGTCGTTGACGTTCCAAAGACATTCTCAATTGAAGTGGAAAATGTGGAAAATAGCATCAGCATTCCTGATGCATTGTTGAAAACCGCTCCTCCTTTTTCCTGGGGCATGTGGGATACGGCTGGCTAGTTGCAAGTACAATGCATGGGTTGGGGGAAAAATTCCTTACTTTTGAGTTTTGACAGGCCCGGGCCCCTGCTCTTAAAGGGAATATACAACATTTGCAAACATCGAAAAATAAAACTACCAAGTTTTTGCTAAATACCTTAATAGGACGTTGGTAAATGACAGTCTAAAGCATCCTGTAAAATTATGGCACCTGGTATACTGTCATTTTCAAGAAAAGTGGTATTTTTGTATCAATTTCCAACGCTGATCGGCCGATCAGCGTTGGAAACAACTGGCTTTTTTTCAAATACTGGCCCCAATTGACTATTGCACTTGTTTGCAATCGATTACAAACCTATGAACGGGTACGAGCCAGCTAGACTGGTTCCCTGACCTTACAATTCCCCAATGTATGTAAACTGCTCTGTTTCTTCTTATATGGAGTCAGGGAGCCAGACTACAGGTAAATGATCGTTTTTCTTGGTTTTTATAGCATTTTCGAACCCAAAACCTCCAAAAAGTCAGTGTAACTATATTTGCTTTATATTTCCAATCCCCCAATTCCATCCATTTCTGAAAATTACAGCAAAAGCAAATGATGTATATTCCCTTTAAGTACAGAATAGCAAATAGCAGAGCGTACATATGGTACATAATGTACAAGGTTTTTTATGACAGAAGTTTGCAAACACCACGAAAACTTTGGCAATATCAGTGCACATACAAATGTACAATGTAGGCCTATGTGATTTATGCACATCTTTTTGTTCAGTGAATAATTGTTTTTTTTGGGGGGGGGGGGGTTCTCTACGCCCCCCTCCCCTCCAAATACAATAAAATCCCAAAACTTCCATTCATCTACTGAAGACATTGAGAAGAAATGACAGTTTTAGAGGTGGGAGGAAACCCCAGACGAATATTCTGGGGAAAACCAAGGGAATCAGATAGGGATTGAAAACCCAACCAAGTTCCCGTTATGACCAGTCCAGGGAATCGAACCTGGGCCACAGCAGTGGAAGGCGAGGAAAAGAACCGCTACGCCGACCTGACTCCCCCAAGTGAAGTCGGATGACCAAATGAAACAGTGTACACAATGTATAATCTGTAGGGCCTATATCTTGCACCTGTAGTCTTTTTTCGCGTGTGTTATTGCCTTTTGAGCCAATTTTATCTTGAATATGCCGTACTAATGTACACGTTTTACATACATACATACATACATATTCAGTTTGAACCAAATGTGCTAAAGGCAGGCAGTTTTATAGCGTTTTGATGCAAGATTTATTTGGATAATTGTACAAAATGTAAACACATATACATACATTTTGTACATTGTACACTGTATTATACATTGTACCAAATAATAAGGATACCGGTACATGTTATCGTACAGTATGTATATACCGGTACAATACCACCGCATACGTGTACGTACATGTACATGTATACTTGTCCATGTACCTGTGTGTGCAAGGTTCAAGGTACGTGTTCGTGTACTTTTTAGTTAAAAGTGAAAAATTAATGAGACTCATTCATTATTCAAACGCAAAATTTTAGGAAATTATCGCAAGTGTGATGTACATGTGCAGTACATGTATACGTACAGTAGTATAAGCAGGAATAAACTAATTTTGGGCTAATGGGAAATATTAATGCACAGAGGATGGGAGTTATTTAAGGCCTTAAATGATATTGGCCATCAGCGACAGATTATGGAAAGGGGGTGGCGCCCAAAATGGAGGCGAATTCCCGAATTTATACCAGCGGGGCATATATTTGTGGATGAAAATTTCTGTCTTTGAAGTGAATACCATTTGACAGCAGAAGAAACGGGGAAAAAGACAACATACATAAAAAAGGGGGGGGGGGGCAGGCCGGCTGTGCCCCCTGCACCCCCTGTGGATCGTTACTGGCCATGTTGGCTACCAATGCCAGCCCCAATGTACCAGTGTATACATACATTGTATGTGTTTGTGTACATATCACTGTAACACGAGATGCCACATTGTATGTTCTGTACAAAAGTCTTTTTTCAAGGCAGTAAAAGGCCGTCATTGATTTTGTGATACAGGTATATTTTGTAATGTTTTGATAACGATACATGTACTGTACATGCATATAAATTAATTCCTTTTTGAAATGGTGCATGTGAATGCAATGCACTATTTTCCTGTTATGTTTATGAAGGTACCTGTT